TTTTTTTTTTTATAGAGACAGAGTCTAACTTTGTTGCCCTCAGTACAGTGCTGTGGCATCACAGCTCACAGTAACCTCCAACTCCTGGGCTTAGGCGATTCTCTTGCCTCAGCCTCCCGAGTAGCTGGGACTACAGGCACCCACTACAATCCCTGGCTATTTTTTGTTGTAGTTTGACCCAGGCCAGGTTTGAACCTGCACCCTCAGTATATGGGGCCAGTGCCCTACCTACTGAGCCCTACCCACAGGTGCTGCCCAGTCCATTGTATTTTTTACAATAAAATAGGATAGATTATTTTTAATGAAGTAGACTAGAAAATATTGGAGTACATTTCTTGTAATAAGGCCAGGTATCATTCCATAAAATGTTTCAGTGGAAGATGTATGTTAAAATGTTTGAAACCCCCAGGTATAACATATTTCTAGCTGTGCATTAATTACAACCATGAAAGTTTGAAAAACTTGATCTTGATGGTTGGTGATTCCAATGTCTACATTGCTAGCTCTTCCCTACCCACAGTTCTGAATGCCACACGTGAAACTACTTTCCAGCATCTGAGCAGATCCAGACTCAAACTTGTTGCCCTCTCTCCCCTAGATACATACCTTCTCATGTGTTCCCTGTTTTGTTCTCCAGAATCTGGCCCTGTCTGCTGCCCCCTACCCCTAGCCACACAGCCTTGCTATCTAAGAAACCTCCTCCCAGCACTTTTCAATCTTTGCTCTAACCTTCCCTCCTTCCACCTCTGCCTGTGCTATGGATCATTCCCCTTTCTTGGAGACCCCCTCAAATGCCTCCCTGTGCCTGGAAGCACATTGATTTGCCATAGCTTCTCCTCGCCCCAGAGGCCCTCATTCATTCCTCCAAAAGTGATGGCGTATGCATGAGTGGGGTGCCTTTCTGTCTTCCCAGGGGACCCTGAGCTGTATCTTCCACCCCATTGTGTCCTCTGTACTTAAGGTGATGCTCAGCATTTAGTAAATCTTCATTAAGTATTTGTCCAATTAAAAACAGACCCTGGGAAGCCAAGGACATCAAGGGCAGACTGCACAGCTTTGTTTCCTGTCTTTCCCTCCTCACCCAGAGCGTACACCTTCTCCAGCAGATCTGAGCCCACTCAAGAGGTACCCCAGAGTTCTGACTGCTCCCCCCGGGTCTTTCCAAAGAGCCCGCTGCACAGCACAGGGTCAAAGAGGCTGAGAGTCAAAGAAATAAGTGCATGTTGACCCATATTCCCTGCTTCCATTAAGTGTAGGCTGTCCCTAAATTCTCACTGGAAGAGCCAGAGCTTGCCATCTTTGTGTCCCTGAGCTCGTTAGGAGGTGGCATTGTGCCAGCTCAGCACAGAAGCAGACAACGGCAGCCTTCAGGCACCTCCTAGCACTAAAGTGGATCTGCTTCCTTAGCCAAGTTCTCACTTTTCACGGGGCTGTGATAATACCTCCCGGTCTCTTCTCCTCTTTAACTCTTCCTGTACAAGACCCAGAAAACCTTTCTTCCTATGGGGCTGTCATGTCACTACCCTGCTCAAGGACCAAACATGACTCCCTATGGCCCAATGAACCAAATTCAAATAGTCCTGCTCAATCTTCAAAGCACCTCACTGAGGCTAGTGACCCACCCTTACATCTGCCCTCTTCTTCCCCTCATGCCCCCTTCTCCCAGTTTGATCCAGTTCTTCATGTGTCTCTTCCAGTTACAATCCCTGCACACACACACATGCCTATACCCCCTTCAATCACTTATTCAGTGTCCAGTTTTCACTGAGAACTTCCTAGGTGCTGGCTGCATGTTTGGTGCTTTCAGTCCAAAGTAGACTTTCTCAGCCTCAGTGCTACTGACACGGGACTGGATAATCCATTGTCATGGGGGCCAACTATGCACTGTAGGATCTTTATAGCATCTCTGGTCTTTCTTCACTGGATGCCAGTAGCACCCTCCTCTTCCCAGGGTGACAACCATAAATGTCTCCAAACAGCCTAGGGACAGGGCTGACTGAGAATCACTAGTGCAGAGTGGCAGGAAGAGCCTGTGGCAGATCACCTGGGAAGCTGGTTTAAAAGGCAGGGTGCTAGACTGCACCCCCAGAGAGTCTGTTTCAATGCCCTCTGGGTGATTCTGATGCAGGCCCTCATAGGACCTCTGCTTGAGGAACACTGGTCACATGTTTCTAGACAGGAAACAAATCACAGTGAGTTGGTTCATTACAGTTACCATACGTGTAGGTAGTAAGATAGGGAAGAGGTAAGCTGGTGCTAGGGGTGCAGTTGATGTGGTCCTTTGGGATAAGGGCCACCACCCTGGTGAACTGACAAATGATTAAGTCAAGCGCTACAGCATAGGCAGGGTCATTGGCAGGAGAGGTCAGAGGAGGCAGTGCTGCCTGCATCTCTGCCCCTGTGCTCCTGTCTTTGTTTGAGACATGCACATCCCCTTCCCTCTCCAAATCTTATGCTTCCTCCAAGGCCCTCTCAAGTTCAACTTCCTCTGGGCAGTCTCCCCTAACATCTCTGGCCCATCAGTACCTCACTTCCTAGACAGTTTAACGCTGACTTCCTATCTCATTCATGGCCATTTTGTTTCCTAAATGGACTTCAAGCCCCTGAGCACCAGGACCTCCCCATCTCCTTCTTTATAGACCCCAAGGTATCCTTTTAGGACCAGACACACACGATTTGCTTACTTCAGTGGATACTTCAGGGTTACCTGCAAGGTGGCATCCATGAGATTTAGGGGTCAGGGTCTGTCAGGGTCAGGGAAGGATGGGACCCCTTCCATGCCTGCTGAACTCTGGGCAGCTAGCTCAACCCCCCAAGACCAGGAAGGGCTTGCCAGGGCAAGCAGGCTGGCATGGGCACTGACACTCTCCCCCTGTTGACAAAGAAGGAGGAATCCTGGCAGCCCCAGCAACTTTGGGAAGATACCATCAGGGGACTGAAACCCAGAGCCACCCTGCTGAAGATCAAATGTCAAGACAGCAGCAGGGGATGTGCCTGCAGGGATGCGGCAAGCCATTTGGGGACCCACCTGTCCTTGCACAGGTTCATGTTTGGGGTGGCAGTAAACAAAAGAGAAGGCAGGCCCGATCAGATCCAACAAGCCAGGAGACTCTGAAAATGTCTTTTGAAGCCACCAGCACCATACAGAGCTCATGAGCTGCCACCAACCAAGGAAGAAGGCTCTCTGGGAAGGTCCCGAGCAGTGACAGGCTGGAAGCAAATGTTCTGGACAAGGTGCCTCATCCTCCTCAGCTCTGGGGGAGTTGCAAAGAGGGGAAACAGCCTAACTGTTTGGCTTTCCTCCTGGAGCCAGATACCCAGCAGCAATCCTCACCTCCCACCCTCATGGGCAGCCCAGATTGGGAGCACACATGACTGATGGAGAACCCAAAGGATGAGAAGAGAACAACTGTGTCATGATTTGGAAGTTGAGAGATGGCATGCTTACACAACTAAAAAGGCATTTCTGTGGCTATCAGTCTGGGAGGAGGGGCAGTAATTCCAGGGAGGCGGCAATGGAAAAAGACTACAGAAAGGAGAAGGGGTTCTTTCCAAGAGAGACTCCTATAAGAGGAGATAAAGGGACACTCGAAAACAGAGCTCCCCCCAATCTCCCAAACCAGGCAGAGTAACCTGAAGCATTTCCCTTAAGCCAGCAGAGCCTGCAAAAGGAAGCGGCTGGCATTTCGGTTATCTTCCACAAACAAAAAGACCTAGGCTATGTCCAAATTAAATATCTGAGTGACACCTCCTTCTGCTCTTCCTCTTAAAGGAGTTCGCCTGTGGATGGGGGTGGAGTAGGGGTTAATTTCTGCTGCAGCTCTGACCTTTTGCGTTAAGGATGAGAAGAAGACCCGTCTGTGTCAGAAAGAATCGAGTTTCGAATTTCACAGATCCAGTGGCTACGGGATTGTAAGAATCCACTGTCCACTGTCCCTACCGCCATAGCCCACTACCAACTTCACCTAATTTGACACTGCTAGGGGACGAGGGGCAAATGCTTTTCTTCCCAAGGTTCTCTACAAAAAGTTCAGGAATCACAAGGTTAAAAAACAACAACACAAAATTCTACCGGATTTTGAGCCCTTTGCCTACCAGGGTCCAACCACAGAACTGTAGGTTTGGGGCACAGACATCCCGGCCGCCTTTCTGGGGATTCACATGGATTTGTCGTCGGCTCCGCTGCTTGAAATGGTGTTAATCTGGCTCCGCTGCTAACCTGTCTCCCATTTTTCACAGCAGAACAAAGTTGTCCGGGCCCTCCAGCTGGCGCTGGGCAGGCGCTCTTCTCCGGCTAGGAGCAGAGATGCGCTTCCAAGCGCCATGACCGTTGCCTAACGCGGCAGTGCTTGGTGATAAGTGCAGAGCCCACGGTCACTCACCCTAGAAACGCTGAGACCGCTGCCTAAGGGCTTGCTCACCGGCTCCGCTCATCCCACCCTCTCAGACTTTCTTACCTCTTGATGTAGTTCCTGCCATAGAGAATCTGTTGCAGCAAGGTCACCAAGGCGAAGGCGCAGATGAAGATGAAAAGCAAAGTTCGGTTCCCCAACAAATCGCGATTGGCCGAGGGGTCCGCGTAGCGCATCCTGGCGGCAGGGCGCCGCGGTCGCGGGTTACTGGGCGGCCAGGCAATCGCGCGCGGGTTTGCGGGGCTCTGGAGGGCGCTCGGCCGACCAGGCGCCGCACAGTGTGGTCAGGCAGGTGGGGGACTTTGCAGGACAAAGTTTCCGGCTGGCTGGCCAGAGCTGGGGGCATCTGAGCGTCGCAGGCACTGAGGAAGCCAGCAGGACTGGGCTGGAGCTCCGCTCGGGCCCCGGGCCTTCCCCCTGGATGCCTTTACCTCCGGGCGCCCATGCCTAGCAGCGGCCGATTTCCCCACGGAGGGGCGACGCCAGGTGCCACGAGCCGGAGGCCGCCCCACCCGCCGAGGTGGCGGCCAATAGGGAGCGGGGCCCGGGCTCCGTCGGCCGGTGTGCCCCAGCGCCGCGCACCGCCCCCTCCGATCCGGCTTCGGATCGCTGTAGCCCAGCGCGTAGTGCCCTGCCGGGAGCGGGCCACGTCTGATGCCCTGGCCGGCAGGCAGGGATTGCGAAGGCTGGCCTTCAGTTCTGCGGATGGGGCTGGGGGGGGCGACAAAACACGCGTACAGTCTGGCCAAATGACAGGCGGGCCGGGAAGAGGGGGAGGGGTGGAGCGGAAAACGCCGGGTTTGAGTCTTGGAATTAAAAAGAGCAGGAAAGGGAAGCCGCGGCTGCGGAGCTGGGCTTGCTAGAGGGGAGCATTTGCATGCGGCGCGCAGGGCACTGAGTCACCGCGGTGGCCGAGTCCTCGCGTTCTCCTAGAGATTTCTCCGGAGAAAGCCGAGCAAGGTCAGCTGGGCAGCCCTTCAAGGACGGCGCGCGCTGCGCCTGCATGCTGATGGCCAACTCCTGCAGGGAAGAAATTCAGGGGCAGTCCGCCCCCGCTGGAGGCCTTTTCTCCTCCCCAATTGCAGTTTGTGGCCCTTAGTCAAAGACCCTGTTGTCACTGAGACACTGGGACTTTGTCTTATTCTTGGAACCACTCATAAATCTTAGGTCAGGCAGCCGGCAGCCTTCGGGTACCAGGGTCCCCAAAAGCTTTAGTAAGTCACTACATCCGGAAAGATCTGTGCTTCAGAGTACATCCTGGGGAAATAATCAAAGAAATGTTATGCCAATGTCGTGCCTCTTCAGAGATCCTTATCCTGAAATGCTATCCCCATTCCCCACCCCCAGTCGGCACGCCAGGCGACAGCGCTGTCATCCTGGCACCTCAGAGTCTCCAGGCGACTGGGAGTCACATGCCTGCACCCTTCACCACCTAGTCTCGCCTGGCTGATTCGAGGGCACCCCTTACCAGGACACACGGGGAAGTTTCAGAGTCAGGCCTGGGATTCAACTTGGAACTTGACAGAAATTCAAATCTCATCTCAGCAGGATAAAGAACTTTGACGGAGAAGAGCCTAGCCTCTTTGGACTAAAAAGATCACAACATGCACAATTAAATCCAGGGTTCCACCAAATTTGGGGATTTGTGTTAATTCAGAAAGCAGAAGTGGACTGTACTATCTACGAAGAGTTTGTGTATTTATCTGCAAGATCACGGGTAGGCTTTTTACCAATTAGAAACTAAGGATAATTTAGATTATGATGATAATCTCCACGTTTGTTTGGTCTTACATATCAAAAAATTCTTCTCTAGAATATATTAATGAATTGTCACCTCCTAGTCTCTGCCATAACCCACTTTATAGTTGAAAGGACCAAAGCACTAGTTACCCAAAGGAATTCATCTACCAAGAAGTCTTTGGATTCTGAGACGTGGCTCTTTTGCCCATACATCCAGGCAGGCTGGCTTCATAGGAGCATTCCTGTTTATTTATACCCACTACCACCATCATTTTTGGTTTACTGCTCCATTTTTGCTGTCTTCACATTTTTGAACAAGGGGATCTGCATTTCCCTCTGCCCTGGGGCTCATTAATTATGTAGCAAGTCTTGCACACACATTCCAAGTTGACAGTACTAATTTTTCACCTATTTGGTGTTCAAGTGTCAAGTTCGTGAGGTACGATCATCTTCCCTCCAGCCAAGGCACTCTCACTTCTATTACTATGTATTAGTAATAGAATCCACCCCCACCAGGTACTCATTCTCATATTGTTTTCAGATGCATGCTTCTTTGGAAAAACAAATCTATTTTTAAGTAATAAATCCAAATTATCCTAAGGACATTTAATTTCAGTATAACACATTTACAGAAAAGTACATGAATCATAAATGCTCGGCTTGCTGAGTTTTCATAAACTGAACACATTCATGCAACCAGCACACAGATCAAAAAACAAAAACATTATCAGCCCCTCAGGAATTTGCTATGCTCCTTTCCAGTTACTGTGTACTCAAAAATAATCACCCCAAAGATCAGTGCTTCTTGCGTTTTATATAAATGGAATTATATACTCTTTGTGTGTGCCTTCTTTTCTTCAAAGCTATTGTGAGATTCATCCATGTGGTTGTGTGCACTGAGTGGGATTACAAGATCACCCCCAAGATCCCTCACCCCTTCTTGTACACACATTCTCCCAGGTATTCTACTAAATGCTAATCTAGGTACTACTGTGAAGGGATTTGCAGGTGAAATTACCCTAAATCAGTTTGCCTTAACGTAAGGAAATTATCCTCAGTGGGCACTACCCACTGAGCCCTTATAAGGGGCTGGACTCTCCCTGATGAAAGATTCAGGCTCAGCACCTGTGGCTCAAGTGGCTCAGGCACCAGCCACATACACCTAAGGTGGCAGGTTCGAATCCAGCCCGGGCCTGACAAACAACAATGATGGCTGCAACTAAAAAAAAATATATAGCTGGGTGCTGTGGCGGGCGCCTGTGGTCCCAGCTACTTGGG